CTCTCTCCTGATTATTTAAGCATTGTTCTTTAGTCATCCATGAGGCCTTCACCATCATCTATAACTCACAAGGGATCATCTTTTGTGTTCTAGAGCATTTGGCATCAGCACTATTAGTTAGTTGTTTTACACCTCTTTGTCCAGTTGGACTTCAAATCCCTCATTCATTCAACAAATACAAAGCAGCTCCTCTAGGCCCTGAGGACACACTGATAAAGCAGAAAGGCAGGTCCCTGCCATCATGCTTATTTTCCAATGGGCAAGGACAGAAAATACAATATTTCAAATACTGATAAATATTTGGGGACGCTGTGCAGCAGGGCAATTATCTAGAATTGATTGGAGGGGTAAGGGCTACTTCCTCTTTAACAAGGCAAGTCAAGTTTTTACTACCAGCACTCTTGAGGCAGAGGCAGATGGATCTTTATGAATTCAAGGCAGACTTGGTCTACATAGTTCTAGGCCAGCCAAAGCTATAACAAAACCCTGTCTCAAAAATAAATAATTAAATAATGAAAAGGCAGATCAGGAGTTGGAGAGATGGCTCAGCTGTTAAAAGCACTTGTTGTGGGGCTGGACAGATGGCTAAGAGGTTAAGAGCATGGACTGTTCTTCCAGAGGTCCTGAGTTCAATTCCCAGCAACCATATGGCAGCTCACAACCATCTATAAAGAGATCTGGTGCCCTCTTCTGGCATGCAAGCATATATGGAAGGAATGTTGCATACATAATAAATAAATAAATAAATAAATAGGCACTTGTTTTTTACAGAAGACCCAGGTTTGGTTCTCAGCACTATATGGTGGCCCCCAACCATCTATAACTCCAGTTCCAAAGGATCTGATGTCCAGTTCTGAATGCACCAGGTGTGCTGTGCATGTGGTACACATACATATATGCAGGAAAAGCATTCATACATAAAAATAATAATAAATAAAATCTTAAAATTAAAGAGCAGAGGCCGGGCAGTGGTGGCGCACACCTTTAATCCCAGCACTCGAGAGGCAGAGGCAGGCGGATCTCTGTGAGTTCGAGACCAGCCTGGTCTACAAGAGCTAGTTCCAGGACAGGCTCCAAAGCCACAGAGAAACTCTGTCTCGAAAAACCAAAATAAATAAATAAATAAATAAATAAATAAATAAATAAATAAATAGCAGGTTAAGTGGAGACTTGAACTGCAAGTAGGAGCCAACGATGAGAAAACTATAAAAAGAATTCCAACCCAAGGAAAAAACAAGAGGAACAGAAGTAGCTAGTGTACCTGAACCACAGGGAGTGCTACGGTTTGGGTAGGAACTTGGCCCCCACCCACAGGCTCATGTATTGAAGGCACTGAAATGTGACTGCTTTAATTTACTAATGGGTTTCAAACTAAATGGGCTGGAGAAAGCAGGCCACTAGGGAGCATGCATTACTCCAGACCATTACTATCTATGTCTCTCTGCTTCCTGACTGTTGAGATAAGCAACTCTGCTCTGCAATACTCTTCTACCATGATGCTCACATGCCCAGATAAATTAAAACCAACATGTATGAAACAAAACCTCCAACAACTGTCTTTCTTCTTTAAATCATTTCTCTCGGATACTGTCAGAAAAAATGAAAAACCAAAATAGGAAAGCCAGACAAAATGAGATTAACTAAGAAGGGATATAGAAGGACATGGCTGAGGCAGGCAGATCTCTGTGAATTCCAGGCAAGCCTGGTCTACAGAGTGCTTTTCCGGCCAGTCACGGCTACACAGTGAAACTCTGCCTCAAAAAGAAGATTAAGAAGAAGAAAAAGCGGAGGAAGAAGGAATAGAGAGTCTATGAATGACTAGCCTGTACCATTTAGTATTTTAAAGGCCAGATTCAAAACATATTTGAGTTTTCTTACCACTTATAGTTTTGAAAATACCCACTTTTGTTCCCAACCACTGTGCACTAAATCCACCATTCTTCCCATCCCTCCAATAAACAGTTTACAGTGTGACTGCCTGGCCCTGCAACCACTTACCCCTTTACAGTTTACAGTGTGACTGCCTGGCCCCTGCAACCACTTACCCCTTTACAGTTTACAGTGTGACTGCCTGGCCCCTGCAACCACTTACCCCTTTAATGAAGATAGGTTTGTCCTTTATGTCAAAGTTCCAGATCATGATGTCCCCCCCTTTGGAGCCCACAGCCACGGTACTGGGATGAGTCGGGTGCCATGCCAACGATGTAGTCCTTCTGTCAAAGGGGGCAGCTTTTTGGAATACCCGGTAAGAAGCCAGAGAGTGCAAAAAGGACTTTTGGAGACCCTAATACAGAGAAAATAGAATTAATCCTAATTCACTGAATTAAAACTCATGTCCTGAGCTGGGCATGGCACACGGCTTTAACTCCAGGATTCAGGAGGCAGAGGCAGGTGCATTTCTGTGTGACTGAAGCCAGTTCGGTCTACATATAGAGATCCAGGCAAGCCAAGGCTACACAGTAAGATTTTTGGTTTTTTTTTTTTTTTTTTTTTTTTTTTTTGTACCTGGAGTGACAGCCGTGGGTACTGGGAACTGAACTCTTATATTTTTGGTTGTGAGCCTAGCCTTTAATGGCTGACCCATCCATCCCTCCAGGCCCATAGTGAGATCTTGTCTCAAAAACATAAATAAAAATTAAATTAGGGTCCTGGGTAAACTGTCACTCCTTCATAGATAAGCATGAAGTCTTCTCTAGTCTTGTGCGTGGAATATCTGCAATGTAATGTTAACTAATCCTGGAAACAAAAGGGCAGAATGCATTCCAGCTGGGGTGTTTACAGGGTAAACTTTTTCTCCTTGACTGGGCCTTCAGTAGGCCAGTCATCATAGCCAGGTGACCGGACCATCCTGATAATCTGCTGACCCGATTTATCATCTAGTTAGAGCTAGCAGTAGTAGAAGCCCTTTGCGCGTCTCAGACAGGAAACATCTCACCTGCTGTAGGGATGACCAAGTGACTTTGCCTAACTTCTGCTGGTAAAGATCCCTGATGAGGCTGCTACTCCGTGGCGGGGTCTGTAGGCCAGGCAACCCCGGCAGATGGCAGCATGCCTCACATTTCCTGCTGGGTACTGCAAGAAGAACACAAACACATTTTCCTCTCCACCATCTCAACAAAGGTTTTTCCCCTGAAGCCCTTTGCTATCTCATTCAGTACAGCCAATCTGTATCATCATTTCCTCAAAGCCTTTCCATGCACTGTTGAGTTTCACTCAACCCAAGAAAGAAAGAATGTTTCCCCCAAATACTCCTCCAAACAGTAATTCTGTTCTGAAACTAAATAAGACCTTGCAGGGTTCCTTAGAGTTGAGCCAAAGAGATACCCAATAAAGTACACTGCAGGCTCTTCTTGTATGGGACTTGAGAGACAATCTTAAAAAGTCACATGCCAAAAATTTCTAGGACAGCATAGAAGTAATTGAAAGATGTTTGTCAACCTAGATGCCCTTTGACCGAAGAATGGATAAGGAAAATGTGGTACACTTACACAATGGAGTACTACACAGCAGAAGAAAAAAAAAGACATCTTGAATTTTGCAGGAAAATGGATGGAGCTAGAAAACATCATTTTGAGTGAGGTAACCCAGACACAGAAAGACAATTATCACATGTATTCACTCATAAGTGGTTTTTAAACATAAAGCAAAGAAAACCAGCCTACAAACCACAATCCCAGAGAACCTAGACAACAATGAGGACACTAAGAGAGACTTACATAGATCTAATCTACGTGGGAAGTAGAATAAGACAAGATCTCCTGAGTAAATTGGGAGCATGGGATCCTTAGGAGAGGGTTGAAGGGGAGGGGAGAGGTAGGAAGGGAAGGGGAGCAGAGAAAAATGAAGAGCTCAATAAAAATAATAAAAACAAAAAAGGAAAGATGTTTGTTTAATCTTATATTAAAATACTATAGTGGTGCAAAACTGTAATCCTAGCACTCAGAAGGCTGCAGCAGAAACAGCTTGAATTTGAGGCCAGCTTGGGCTACACACCAAGACTCTCTATTAAAAAAAAATACTATAACAAGCAGCTATTACTTAAGGGGGAACCAGGAGGATCCAGTAGGGTTTAGAAAAGCTCAAATTGATTAGGTTGTTTCCAGGGAAGGGGAGGTAAACCGGAGAATAATGAGAATAAAGCAATTCTGAATCACCAAACCCTATCATGGACCCAATCTTGTAGGTGCTTTCTCTTGACAACTTTCCTTTCTTCTGATGGATGGATAAAAACCACTCCACTAACTCAGAACATTCCTTAAAGCCCAGGTTCAAGCTCTGGTAAACCTCTGAGAATGAGCTTCCTGAAGAAAGGAGGGAGATTTCAAACTCTCAGCTGAAACCCAAGGCCACACAGCTAACAACACTGACTGGAAATTTAGCAACCCCGGGCCTAAGAACGGTAGGATTACTTTGAAACAGTAGATATATAAAACTTCTGAAATAAAGGAAAAGTGGGGCCGTGAAACAGTAGATATATAAAACTTCTGAAATAAAGGAAAAGTGGGGCCGGGCGGTAGTGGCGCACGCCTTTAATCCCAGCACTCAGGCAGCAGAGGCAGGCGGATCTCTGTGAGTTCGACGCCAGCCTGGGCTACAAGAGCTGAATTCCAGGACAGGCTCCAAAGCTACAGAGAAACCCTGTCTAGAAAAAAAAAATTAAGAAAGAAAGGAAAAGAAAAAAAAAAGTGTGGACTGTGGCTCTATAGTGATGTTCATCTTCTTCCTGTCACCTGGAGTGGAGGTGGGGGGCGGTTAAGATTAAGCTCTTTGGTGTCAATGAACTGGCAAATGAAATGCAGTCCGAAGTGGCAAACCACTTGCTTTGCGTACTCGAGGCCTGAGTTGGAACCTTAAACCTTCCACTAAAATCATAGCCTGAGGCGACGGGAACCAGAAACTGCTTCAGGGTCCTAGGCATAAGCATCCCCACCCCAGCGTCGACCTCTGGCCTAAGCACCTCGAACCACCGGAAGACGAAGGCAAGCAGCGCAGGCCGTACCGAGACTCTGCGCACACAGCTTCTTGGCTTCGGGCTCCAGCTCCTGAAGACTTCTGAGGCTTTTGCTCTTGAGGAGCCGCGCAACGTCGAGGGACTTCTGGGTTCCTGCGCATTTCTTGGGAACCATGGCGTACTCCGTGAAGAGATATCAGGCGCAATGGTAAAATAACGAAGCGGGGACTAAAAGCCTCTGAGGAGAGAACAGGAACGGACTACGTACGAGGCAGCGCCGACGCAAGGAGCTCGGCTGAGCCAACTTCGCGCCAAACGCTCCCGGGCCAGCTTTACTTTTAAGCCTCGTCCCGCCCCCTCAGGGCCGCCCCGCCCCTCGGAACCGCCCCGCCCCCTCGGGGCAGCGACCGTGGGGGCCACCTCGCGCCCGGAACTACCCCAGACTGTCTCGCCCCCTCGAGCCTGCCCCGCCCCTAGATGCCCCGCCTCTTCCGGGGAGGCGGGGCTCGTGGGGTAACACGTGGAGTTTTGTTTTATTTAACTCCCTAAGATCTGGAATGTCGTCTGTGTGTTGGGCCTGATAAAACTAGTTTGTTTATATCCAAGCAAGAGTAAAGATCCAGCCGGGTGGTGGTGGCAGTGCACGCTCTTAATCCCAGCACTCGGGAGGCAGAGACAGGCGGATCTCTGTGAGTTCCTGGCCAGCCTTGGTCTGCAAAGAGAGTTCTAGATAAGCCAGGGCAACACAGAGAAACCCTGTCTAAATAAACAAACAAACAAAAAGATCCAGGTTTCTAAAAATATGAAAATGTCATTGTTTCCTCTCGCTTCGCAGATATATTTTACCTCATAGATGCTGTAGGTGGTGGTGTGTGCCGGCTCTAACTCCCAGGATTGAGGAGGCTGAGACTGAAGCATTAACCTGGATCACACTGTGACAGGGATCAGATAAGAGTGAGAAGACCTGGGGGCTGGGGGCTCAGCGGTTAAGAGCACTGATTGCTCTTCCAGAGGACCATGGTTCGATTCCCAGCACCCACATGGCAGCTCAGACTTGTCTGTGACTCCTGTTCCACGGGATCCTCCACCCTCACGCAGACATATATGAAGGCAAAAATACCAATGCATATAAAATAAAATAAGTAAATTTAAAAAAAAAAAGAGTGATCAGACCTGGTGTGCTATCACACAGCAAGGCTACTGCAGTTAAATATCAGATGCTGTGTATTTCAAAAAAAGGAGAAAGGTTTTGAGTGTTTTCACCATAAATGATGATATATAAGGAGATATGTTTAACCTAATTTAAATCTGTGTGTATGTCAAACATCATGTACTCTTTATGGAGAGTATACTCCATAATTATATATAATTTTTAAGTTTTTATGTAACTAACTTAATTTTTTTATTAAAATGAAACTGTAGGGGAAAATAAAAAGCTGAACCTAGCCAAGCACCAGTCTTAGGGATAGTCTAAAATGGTCTTGAATTAAGAACTATAGGCACACACCTTTAATCCCAGCACTTGGGAGGCAGAGGCAGTTTGAGGCCATTACAGAATTCCAGAATAGTCAAGGCTACACAGAGAAGCCCTGTCTCGAAAACCCAAAGTAAAGAAATAAATATAATAATAAAAATGAATCCTTAAAAATATGTAAGACAATAATTAGAAAGCTTCTGAGGAAAAATAAAGGTAATTTTAGGAGGCTTGTATAGGTCCATCTCAGGGTGCTATCAGCCTCCAACGATAAGGCTATACATTTTTTTTTTAATTTTGTTTGGTTTTCCTTCTTGTGTGGGTTCTGCTGTTGTTTAAGAGAGTCTCCAGTTGGAGAGTTGGCTCAGCACTTAAGAGCACTACCTGCTCTTCTAGAGATCCTGAGTTTAATTCCCAGCAACCACATGGTGGGTCACAACCATCTATAGTGGGATCTTATGCCCTCTTCTGGCATAAAGTTGTATTTTATTTATTTATTATGTTCTACCTGCACTCCTATACATAAAATAAATAAATGAATTTTAGAAAATCCTTTTAAAAAAAGAGTGTCTCACCATGTAGCTCGGGGTGGTCTGGAACTCAGTACTTAAACTAGGCTGTCTTCCAGCTCGCAGAGATCTCCCTGCCCCTCCTCCAGAGTGCTGGGATCAAAGGTATGCACCACCAAATCCGGATGATAAGGTTATTTTCTCTTTCTCTTTTGTTGTTTGTATGGTTTTGTTTTCCAAAATAGGTTTTCTCTATATAGTTTTGGCTGTCCTGGAATTCACTCGGTAGACCAGGTTGGCCTTGAATTTACACTCACCTGCGTCTGCCTGTACCATGTGCTGATATTAAAGGTGTACCCAACACCACCTGGCCTATAATGTAATTTTTTTTTTTTTTTAGGGCAAAGAGAGAATTTTATTTGGTGAAGACAGACATCCAGAAGAGACCAGATGGCAAGGTGCTGTGACAAGGGAGCCTAGGAGGGGCCACAGGGAGATCCCACACTGGGCAAGGCACAGGCTCGGGGTCTGGAAATGTCCTCAGCTGTTCAGCACCATCCGGACAAGCTCTTCATAGTTGATACAACCGTTGCTGTCCTCATGACCCGCCACCAGCATCTCCACTTCCTCCTCTGTCATCTTCTCTCCCAGTGTGACGAGGACATGCCGGATTTCAGCACCCATGACGGTACCATTCCCTTCCTTGTCGAACACACGAAGGCCTTCGACATAGTCCTCATAAGTTCCCTGGTCCTTGTTCTTGGCCACAGTCTGCAACATGGGCAGGAAGTGCTCGAAGTCCAGCACCTTCACATTCATCTCATCGCTCTTAGGGTTCCCCAGGACCTTGAGCACCTCGGCGTTGGTAGGGTTCTGGCCCAGGGCCCTCATCACGTCCCCACATTGGCTGTACAGGATCTTGCCATCACCTGTTCGGTCAAACAGCTGGAAAGCCTCCTTGAACTCTGCGGTCTGGTCCTCGGTGAAGTCACACATCTTGGCTGCTCAGCTCTGCAGGACCTTTTCCGGCAGTAATGGCCTAATGTAATTTTCTTAATCAGGCGTGGTGGCATAGGCCTGTCTTCCACACAGGCCAAAGGAAAAAAATTACTTGATTTTAAGTCTAGCTTGGGCAACACTGTGACTAGGCTACACAATGTGGCCCTGTCTCAAAGCAAACACACAACAACAAAACCCAAAAGCAAAAATAACAACAAGCAAATAAAAGAGAATCTTATCTGTCTGTCTCGAGGGACACTTTTCTCATAGGAAATATCATGATTTGGCTTTAGGTTAAGGTATGTCTGTATATATTCCTCTGTGTGTGTATGCATTAGAAGCATTTTTTTTTTGTTGTTTTTTGAGACAGGGTTTCTCTGTAGCTTTGGAGCCTGTCCTGGAACTAGCTCTTGTAGACCAAGGCTGGCCTTGAACTCACAGGGATCTGCCTGCCTCTGCCTCCCAAATGCTGGGATAAAGGCATGTGCCACCACCACCCTACACTTAGAAGCATTCTTGCTGTGTTTTAAGTACCTTTAGCTCAAAATAACCATCACGCCAAAGTGGTACATTTGGGAGTAGCATGTTCTAAACCCATCAATAGGCAACCATAGAATTACACCTATTTTCTAAAGTCTCCAATCAGAGCAAAGCATTATTTCCTTGAACCCTTCCCCCACAGCCTTCAATACATGTCAATACCTCCTAGAGCCATGTTCTGTTTTCGAAAGGTCAATTACTCAGAAGACCTAAATGGACTGAGAAACTTGGATAGGAAAGTTAACTTGACTGGTAGCACCATGGAAGCTTACTTAAAAAAAAAAAGATTTATTTATTAATTATGTATACACTTGTGTAACTTCTAGTTCTGTCCTCTCCAGGCACTGCACACACGTGGTCCACAGACACACATGCAGGCAAAACACCTATATACATAAAATAATGAAATACAAAACTGTACAAGAAGATGACTCTTTTTTTAATATTTTATTTATTTATTATGCATACAATATTCTGTCTGTGTGTATGTATGTCTGCAGGCCAGAAGAGGGCACCAGACCTCATTACAGATGGTTGTGAGCCACCATGTGGTTGCCGGGAATTGAACTCAGAACCTTTGGAAGAGCAGGCAATGCTCTT